CTACTTCAAAAAAAACCTCATTGTAAGCTGGAAAGATTGAGTTTCGGGTTTCGAGGGTTTGTCTTCAATATGTGTGTGCTGGTGCTCGGATCACGTGTCTCCGCCGAAAATCAAGGGAGCATTCGATTTCGGGGGTTAGGGTTTACGATGATTTACGGTTTAGGGCCAGTTTAGAGTTCAAGGTGGTGGATACAGACGACGGTCTGGCTAGCAGAAGCATCCCCTTATAGCCCACTCGCCTCTAGCATATGGCATATCGTATGCCCTCCACAACTCTACTTTCATGAATAGTCGGGCTCCTCTGTAAAACCTCCAACCCCAAACCCCAAATCGGATATCGCGGTGTTACCCAACCGCAGACAATAGTGGAGGGCCGCACCGGCGGCAGATGTGATGGGCAGAGCTCATAAAATCGCTTTTTCTCGTCTCTAGTCACCCTAAACCCTAAACCCTAAACCCTAAACCCTAAACCCTAACAAACCCTAAACCCTAACAAACCCTACGGAACCAAACTGGGACCGGGAACCTGGGACCCGGAACCCAACGTCAGCCCCCGGAGCCCGGGCAACAGGGGCCCAGGCTCCCTTCGTGCAAGAAGAACGATATTGGGAGTTTCCGAAAATTAGGGGTACCTTGTTTGGGGGTCCTTATGGTAAGGATCCTATTATTTGGGGTACTATATCCATAATATGGGAGTTTCCGAAAATTAGAGGTACCTTATTTTGGGGTCCTTATAATAAGGATCCTACTATTTAGGGTGCTATATTAGGGTCCCCTATTTTCGGAAACTTCGACATCCCCGCGGAGCCGGGCAGCATGGGTGACCCCGCAAGAATTGCATTTCGAAGTCTTTGCAGCCGGATCCACTTGCTCGGGGGTAGCCTGCAGATGTGAAGGCAATCAATCTGAACTTGTTGTTTCTGGAGTCCTTGGCAGGGAGGCTTCAGGAAGTATTCCGCTGACTAGCAATGACACTGTTTGCATAGATCATAAGCTCGACCGGCTAAACCGCTAAGCTAAACCAACGTGATGTTGAAGATAGTTCCTGGGTTTGAGGTCATATCATTCACGGCCCAGCTCGCCTTGTGTTTGAACGCTGCACCCGGCGTGGCCACAGACTTCCCACAAGTCTTCGAGAGTAAAGGCACAACCGATGGGCCGTGTGTAGACGTTCGGCTACCTCGGCATCGCTGCGTCTCTGAGGTCACAAAACCTAGGCTTTGTTATGGCAGGTCATGTTTGAAAGGTTCCCTCCTGTTTCGACACATTCGTCAGACTCGAAGACTCGAAACCCCTAAGCCTAAACCACATGCAGACCAGACCGGGACCTCATGAGCTGTGCTATGAACCCCTCTATCAACATATGATACATCTGAAGGCAGCCTTTCGAGAGCCTTTGTAAGCACTAGACTCCTTACCAAGAGCCCTAAGCCCTCAACCCTAAAGTGAGAAGCAAGCTTGCCCTCTTCTTACAGGTTATTTATGTAAGTGGGAACGTGTTGTGGCAGAGCTTGATTACTATTTTGGGTTTCACCTGTCAGCATACCTCGAACCACATGCCTCGCCTGGATTGTCCGAGTGTGAGCGCCGAAACCCTAAACTCCCATAAACCCTAAGCCCTATCCCTAAGGGTCCATGTACCCAAATAGTGTATACTTTGGCCCCAAAGTACCTATATAGAGACTACTTTAAGGCCAAAGTATATACTATTTGGGTACATCCTAAGCCCCCATAAACCCTACCCAAAGGGTCCAAGTACTAGTATAGTATATACTTGTGGGGCCCAAATACCTACTAAGAACCTACTATAATGGTACTTGACCCTTTGGGCTAAGCCCTATTGACAGGCTTCGCAGTGGCGGCCTGGATTTCTCGCGTCGGGGAGTTGGTTCTTCTACCTCTCGCTGCAAGGCTGCAATGGAGAAGCGCCTCTACAAGGGGGGAAGGGATCAGACGAGGGCTTAGGGGGCAGGTTTAGGGTTTAGGGTTTCGGGGTTTGGGGTTTAGGGTTTAGGGGGCCATATGGCATCATTGTGAAACAGTCAGTGTGTGTGTGTGTGATTTTTTGGGTTCTTGGGTTTAGGGCTGAGGGTTTCCGTGCTCAAGCTCCACGGCCCAACATTCAGGTAACTGATTTGCAGTAGTAGCCCTTGTAGGTGGGTAGTTTCCACGTCTGGGAGTGTTTGAGTAGTGGGTCTTTGGACCCTTATAGAGGAAGAATACCAACTTTGATTTTGCTTAGAAGCCATAGGCACTTGAACCGGGTGCCCCTAGCCATGTACACTAGCGACGCTCGACATTAATGTATGGGCCTGAATAATTAGAATAGGGTTTCGGGGCCCATTCTACTATAACTATAATAAGGAACCCTCCAAAACCCTATTCTAGCTAGTAAGGCCCCTACATTATGCAGCGTTGCAGGACAGAGGTGTGCTCAGATCGGCTGCTAGCGAGCGTTCCATCATGTTGCATCCGATCCCGAAGCCCCCGAGCCGGAGCAAGGAAGACCCTTATAACCGTAAATACTAAATCCTACCCTAAACCCTAAACCCTAAACCCTAAACCCTAAACCCTAAACCCTAAACCCTGCTGCGTGCGAGAGTGAGAGTCGAAACCCTAAACCCAGGCCCTAAACCCCAAATCTCTTAGCCCGAAAAGCCCTAAACCCCAAGCTCCTAGCGCCTGAGGTCGTCTTGCTGTCCATCCTTCCGCAGCCGGAGGTGTCAGCACCGATGGCACGAGACAGGCGAAGATGGCAGCCAAAAAGGGCTAGAGGGTTGCATGATGGCGGGGATTTTGGTGTGTTTAGGTTGGGGGGTAAAGGTTGGAAGTAGGGTCTTACGTCTTTTACGTATCGGAGTATACAATCAGATGAAGATGCAATATAAGGTTTACGCGGATCCTACTATAGTTTAAGGTATATTCCTTAATCAAGGGGTATTGGAGTCTCTGGGTATGTCACGGTAGAAGGCTTCTGGGACCTCTTCCAGGCTGCTGAGGCCTCGGGTTGCTCTTACTACAAAGTTTGGGGTTTAGCGTTTTAGGGTGTTTAGGGCTTTAGGGTATAGGGTTTAGGGTTTAGGGTTTTAGGGTTTTAGGGTTTAGGGTTTAGGGCTTTAGGGCTTTAGGGTTGTAGGGTTGTAGGGTTTAGGGTTTTAGGGTTTAGGGTTTTAGGGTTGTAGGGTTGTAGGGTTTAGGGTTTTAGGGTTTAGGGTTTTAGGGTTTCGGGTTTTAGGGGTTACGGGTTTAGCACTATT